ATTTTACATGTATAGTATACTAATATTTAATAAAGCACACATAATTAGCCTGACAGAGGGTAAAAAAAAAAAAAAAAAAAAAAAAAAAAAAAATCCTCTTTTTTTAAAAATTTTCTTTTTTGGTAATTTTTTTAAAAAAAAAAACAAGACATACTAAACCCAACTTAGCAGCACCAACAAAAATTAACAACTATACAATGCTTCACAAAAGATACATATAAGTTTTAATAAACAAGTCAACAAATAAAGAAGTATAATCTTATTATAATAGTATTATAATCTACTAAAATCTTTGAGAAAAAGAAAGACAAAAATGAAAATATAAATCACAGTAAGATTAAGAGATCCAACATTAACTCTCCTAGCTTCTAACTATACTACTGTAGATTAATGCCTTTCTAGATATTGAAAAGAATCTTCACAATATAATAGTTTTAACTGGTAAATTAGTTAGAACTCAAAAGTTACAAAAACCCAAGAGGATATTAGAAACCCAAAAGCAATAGCTAAAGAACATAAATAATAATATAATTGTGATAAATAAACAACTGATACATAATATAAAATATATATATGTCTTTATTTATATGGAATGGAAAACTCAGTCTCATTTATTAACTTGATAAAGTAATTTACAAATTTAATTGCAGGAAATATATATTTTTATCATTCATGTTGACAAACATTCCTAGAATCCTATTTTTAAAGGATTCATCAGATAGTTTGTTGCCTAGAAATATCTGGTCAGATTAAATTTCTACTACTACCTATCTAGGAAACCTAGACGCCCCTATTTTTTGGATCTTCAATCCTTCCAGATTTCTCTCAACTAACTTGCCAGGCTTGACTTGCTAGTTCCTGTGAAAGGAGAAGTACACCTTTCAAATTGTTCTTAATGAATATAGCACTATTGCCAGTTTGGTACCTTTCCCGGATTTGTTTGTGTTCAGTCATGTTGATTGTGCCTTTTATAGGGAGAAAAATCCACTTAGAACTGAAAGTGGGAAAACCCTGTTTGTATGAAACCTAAATGAAGATGATGGGTATTTTCTGAGACCTGGTTGTGTTTTGCGTCATAGATGGCTTTTCCATTCCATAAATCTTTTATATACACTCATGTGGTATTGAACTATGGACCTTGTGATTGTGACTTGGGAGCACTACCACTGTGCTATAGATCCACAGGTCTATATATATATCTTTATATTATATTTAAACAAAAATAATATTTACATTATAAAATAAATGAAAAGAACTCTTTCTGCTAATCTTCTGACCATATACAAAAAAGATGTTTATAAGAAGTTTTATATTTCTTTGCTAATAAAGTCTTTATATTTTCATTAAAACAACTTAAAGCTTGCCTTTATGTATTTCTTCTATCTTTCCTTACTTGTTTATAAACTCCTTTGAATAAAAACTTGAATTTCTAGTGATCTAAAAAGACTCAAGTATACATTTTCTCTATTAAGGGCAAGAAGGTTCCAGAAAGTAAAAGGACTAACAAGTAAAATGTTATTCTACAGAGCTAGAAGCAACAAGAAATAAAGGTTTTGTTAGTAGAAAAAGATTTATTATCCATCTTCTCATATACTATTTCTATACCCTATTAAAGTGTTTACTATTTTTTATGGTTTTCTTGGGAGATTTTTTCTACCTCAGTTTGACCCTGAATTTTTAATAGTACAATATTACTAGATATCTAATTGATTAACATAAATATATTAGTAACTGAATATAAACAAGTTCTATTGATTGTTTCATGTATTCTGATGATATTATTGATGAATGAAAGAGTTGATTGGTATCCATGTTCACATCATTCTTTCAATTGGATTAATCTATAAATCAAGTTCTATAAGGCCAATAGGATATAAGTAACAAGTCCCCAGGTAATTAAAAAGTTGCTATTTGTTTAAGCTAAGGTTTTTCTCTTCTATTATTCCAGTCAAACAAAGTTTAAGACCATTTTAATCCTGGTCAGGCAATAAAATTGAATAGTTTCTAGTTCATACTAAGCTTCCACCCTTTGGTTATAGTTGAGAATACATTTTCCTGAAAGTTATTAAAGAATATTGTAATTGGCAAGAATTCACATTCCATTTGAAACCTTTACACCATTACAAGGTAAAAGGATTATTAAGAAATCTGATCTTTTAGATAATAAAAGATATATATCAGTAAAATTTCTTTAATTAGGTGTGACTACTGGAAAGTATTATATAGTAACTACATTATCCAGTTTTTACTAAGTCATATAAGTACCTGGGATTCATTATAAGTCGCCTCTCTACTACAGATAAATAAAAAATCACTGTCCAAAAAAGGTTAGAATCAAGTGTGTCATGGAAGTAAAGGCTTCTACTAGGCTATGAGTCATCTCAAATGGTATATAAGAAGAAAATAAAAATCAATAATAGATATGTTTCTTAGATAGTTAGGAAAAGAAAGAATATTCCAATCAGGTATTTTTTATTGAGAAGAGGTCTTCAATTTTTATCGGACTCTTTCCCACATATCAGTGTGTAGCAAATGTATCCACCGAACCCTGGACAAAAAGTGAGAAAAAATGTACACGCAAAGGATGCTTCATAGCTACAACATAACCTCTCATCCAAACTACAACAAGGAATTCCTAGCAAAGGGCCAGGCCAGCCCTAGAGTCATACCCATATAGACAACAGCAGAAAAGAAGCTTAACAATATGAAAAAAATTACAAGACTGGTGAAAGAAACCCCGGCAGACTTGAAACTCACCCCATTTCAGACTCAACAATTTCAGGCCTGCAGCTCTCAAGTCCTCACAAGAATGGACAATCCTAGCTCCTTATCCTGGAGTGATAGATTCGAAAAGGAGATCGACTCTACAAATAATAGTACAGGCACAGCCGCATCCCACGAAATGGGAAAGAAACTTTAGATCCAATCCTACATCACAAGAATAATCACAGACCTGATGGACTCAAACACAGAAATAAGATTGGAAAACAAAAATATAGATCAGCCAAGAAGAAGCAGCCAGAGATGCAATCAAATGGCATAAAGACTGGGTTTTCTAACCAAACAAGGGAAATCCAAGAGAAAGTAGAAACATGACCTCAAAGTGGTAAAACTCACCCAAGGTCCCTCTTCAACAAAAGTACAAGATATAATTGTGAGAGAACAAAACTCAGAACATAGGTCAAGAAAGTCTCCAGCAAATTTATATATCACAAAATAGCATATATATCCAAGGATTTAAACTTATCCAAGGGCCTAATTAGCATTTGCAGTGAGAAATCTGATAATTAGGAGTTTATCACTGCCCTTTTTAGTGATCCACAGTCAACCAAGGATTCCAGTAGCATACACTTACTAGAAATGGATAACCTAATACTGAAATACATGCCAGACATGAAAAACATAACCAACAAAGTAAATAGTGTCACAGTTAGGGACATCCCCTGTATACAACCTTCCATAATATATAGCAGACTTTCATAAAATATGGCCAGATCAACAATATCTCAATTTCAACATAACATATATGGTGTTATGGGTTACGTAGGTGACATGATTTACACATAACGATCTAGAATCCAAAAACCTGAAAGTCTGCATGAAAGATTGAGTGTCGAAAGGTAAGAAACTATAGATAAGGCTTGGGTACTGATAAGGGACCTATGTGTATCTGAAAAGTATGAAAAGTTTAGCAAAGTTTAGGATTAGTATAGCTGATTATAAAGTAAATAGCCATTGTAGATAGAAAAGTATAAATAGCTTACCAATGTATGCTGAAAAGACAGAGCTAAATGTGTGAGAAAAACATACCCTCATTGAGAATAGAGATAAGAGTTAGTAATATCACGAAGAAACAAAATGCAATAAAGAGATATTTACCTTCAGTCAAGTCAATTATCATGCCTCTGCCTTCCTTAAGTGTTCTTTATAGGAGGCGTTTTCTTCTTTGTGTCGTTTGTGAGTAATTGAGAGATGTCCAGGTTATATGAGATGCTACGAATTAGTGATGGACTCTCTGGGATAGCCCACGACAATAGCAATTAATCACCTTACATATATAGAAAACACAGATATGTGCAAGCTCCTGGAAAATTGGAGCATCCAGTGCAAAGCAGACTCTCTCAGAATATTTGACTCAGAATGGTCCCTACAACAAATAAAAAATAGAGATTACTTCTTCCTTAAACTTATCAACCTACCTCCAGACACAAATACTTTTGACATGAGATACATTTGCCAACAAACTAGAAGCAAAACATGCTATATCCTCCAAAAAATAAATTACAAATACAAATACTTTGCAGTTATCAGTTTTGAAAATGAGCAAAACATGTAGCAAGCAATTACAACAAACTATACCCTTGGAAAAACAACCATTGAATGGCCCAGTAGACATCAATCTATGTGCCATTTGTGATGCTGCCTCATATCTAGCAAAAGACTGTCACATTGAAAAGAGAAGGCAACAATAGTAAAATATCAAACAAGAACAAGCAGAAAGATTTGGCTAACTATATATACATTTCAAACCTATCAAAACTACAAGCATTAGAAGGTTAGTGAAAAGAAAGAACAATATAAAACCTACACACCCGGGCTTCTATGCAGCAGCAATCATATCCAAAGCAAGACCAGCCCCAATATCCATCAGTCTAGAAGAAATACTCTGTCAAATCTTATATAACATATAAGAAATTAAAGAAGAGATTATCAATATCAAAGAAGTAGTAACAAAACTAGATGAAAGAATTGTAAATTTAGAAAACTGGAATGAAAATTACAACTTTAACATGAATGAAGATCTACAAGAAATCCAGGATACCAATAGCCTGGAATATATAGACAGTTCAATACACAATATTCAACAACAACAACATCAATTATGAACATTAATTGGCAACATGGATAGGACAATAACCACCCTAGTCAGTATCATTTCAGATCTCATCCTTAACAATAGAGAAAACACAATATATAATAATAAATAATTATAAATATTGAAAATCACAATAGCAGCAATAACAACTCTAATAAAGTTACAATCAATAACAAAAAGGATTTGAAAATACAAAACATAGATACAGAAGATAACTGAACTCACAACTCTCTTCAAGAAATGTATATCAAAAACATAAACATTAGTAGGAACACTATGGACAAGGCATATAAAATGATATACAATATTAAAAACAATCTCACTAAATATAAATTTATCTGAAAATTCACAACCTTTAATATACAAGGTATATCAGAACTATACAAAAGAGATATCTGGTTCAACTTCTACGTAGCAATGGCTTGGAATATTATAGTCATCACAGAAACCAATAGATCACATTATCTTTTGAAGCATTAAAGACATGAGAAATAGCAAACAATATAGATACATAAAGAATCATAAATGATTATTCAAGATCTCAATATGATGATAAATAAAGATATTGTGTATTAAATATACAAATACAAAACATTGGTAGACAGACTTATTGCTACAGACTTAACTTTCTCATACAAAGAGAAAATAAGAATAATGATATCTACTTTCCTGCACAGGATATTGATAGGAAAAAAACCACTATAACAACTATCCTCATCAAATGGATAACAGAAGCAACCACAAATGGCTGGCACCTTATCGTAATGGATAACTTAAATGGAGTACCCAATCCAGCCATAGATAGATATAGTTCCAAAGAGAAAATCAGACACAGCACTTCCTCAAACAAACAAATTTGGATACTGATAAATAATGGATTGGAGAACACATATAGAATACAGCAACTCTGTATCCAGATATTATACTTGGAACAAAGGAGCCAGAAACAGTAGAATAGATCAAATATAAATCAATCCCCTGGCAATATGGCAGTCAAGAAGTGCATCAATCAAAAACTGCACTATCCCTAATTCAAAGTGATTACATATCTATAATAATTGAAATGTAGATCTGGAGTTTAGATAAACCCAAGCAAATGCCAATCCATAAACCCAACCATAGATATAATTGGGATCTCACAATATCAAAATAATAGAAAGATTTCAGTGAACAAATAGATTAAGAAATCCAAAGGCAAAACACAAGCCAAAACAACTAGTCAATAGACCAAAGATGAAACAGCTTCTGCAACATTATCCAGAAAGCAGCAAAATAACATATTCAGAGAAAGATGACACATCGCAAAAGCAGATAACAACTGTAGCACATAGAAAAAGAGTCTCATATTATTCAACTCTAGCATTTCAAAGTACAACTCCAAAAGGAAAATAGAAAACCAGTCAAGAGTAACACACCATATGATCCTATTATCACCCAAAACATTCAAGAAAGATTTTAAACATAACAGTACTCTTAAATAACTTCAGAGCTATCCACCCCACCAATTTTATTGACAGATGGATCCAAACAATACACAACAATATAAAAGCCCACAAAACAGTAGCTAAAGTCATCACCTACTGAAGACAAAACATCACAATTAAAAAAAGAACTCAAATTAGACAAGAATGCTTCAATAATAATAAAGAGCAATGATAAACAACATTATGGAAAGACCTAGAAGGCATATAAACTTAGACTGACTAATTATACAACAGAAAGATGCAGTACAAATAGCCACAGATCTAGAAGAAATCAAACAAAGAACAAAAGAACACTTCTATAACTGGACTACATCCAGAAATATACAAAATCTCGAGAATTATACTTATTGGCAAAGATAATACAGACCAAAGCCTAATAATAAACAGTACATTTATCAAAACCTCACTAAGGAGATTTCCATGCAGAGTTAGAGATAACAATTCAACAATGCAGCTCAAAGTCTGTCCCAGGCCCAAGCCAAATCCCCTACACAGCCTACAGGCACATAAAAACAAGAACCAAAAAGGAATTATGACAAATTTTCAATATCATCATCAAGCAAGGAAACACTTCAAAAGAATAGAGCAGTGAACATATATAGTCAATACCAAAGCTGAAAAATTGTGCAAATAATCTCAACATCACCAGATCAATTATACTGCTGGATGCAGAAAGAAAATCTTCACCAAAATTATTATAGACAGACTAGCCAAATGCTTGACTGAAGGCAATGTATAATCAGAACTAAACTGGGCAGCTTTCCCAAGAAATAGTACTCAAGATTTGATCCATATATTCAGTAATATAATAGAACATGCAAAAGAATACAAACAACAGGCATGGATTCTTGAAAAAAAAAAAAAAACTCTTTCTCGAAAATCTCAAAATCTTAAAAATTTCCTTTTATGGTAACAACCCAAAGCCTC